GGAGTTTTTGCTCTTGTTACCCAGGCTGGAGTGCAATGGCATGATCGCGGCTCACCGCAGCCTCCACCTCCTGGGTTAAGATAATTCTCCTGCCTCAGCCTCCTGAGTAGCTGGGATCACAGGCACGCGCTACCATGCCCAGCTAATTTTTTTGTATTTTTAGTAGAGACGGGGTTTCACCATGTTGACCAGGATCTTCTCGATCTCTTGACCTCATGATCCACCCGCCTCGGCCTCCCAAAGTGCTGGGATTACAGGCGTGAGCCACCGCGCCCGGCCCTCAAGCCAGTTTTATGGGTAGGTACTAGTAAGTAAACTTAAAATCCTGTGTGTATGTTTAAATTTAAATGATTTAAAAATAAATAAAATTGGTGGGGCGTGGTGGCTCATGCCTGTATGTAATCCCTGTTTTGGGAGGCTAAGGTGGGTAGATCACCTGAGGTCAGGAGTTCGAGACCAGCCTGGCCAACATGGCGAAACCCCATCTCTACTAAAAATGCAGAAATTAGGGTTGGGCGTGGTAGCTTACACCTGTAATCCCAACACTTTGGAAGCCAAGGTGGGCAGATCACCTGAGGTCAGTAGTTCAAGACCAGCCTGACCAACATGGTGAAACCCCGTTTTTTTTTTTTTAGATGGAAAAATTAGCTGGTATGGTGGCAGGTGCCTATAATCCCAGCTACTTGGGAGGCTGAGACAGGAGAATCACTTGAAACTGGGGGTTGAAGGTTGCAGTGAGCCAAGATTGCACTATTTCACTCTAGCCTGGGTGAAAGAGCAACACTGTCTCAAAAAACTAAAAAATAAAAATAAATAAAAATAAAAATTTATATATTGAGTTATACTAGCCACATTTCAAGAGCTCAGTAGCCACATGGAGCTAGTGACCACCTGTTGGACAGTATAGATAGAGAATGTGTCTGCCATTACTCAAGGTTCTTTTGGATTGCAGTAGATCTTGATGGTTGGTTGTATTGCATTCTTGTTAATGAGATCTTAGGCTGTAGGAGGGGAAAGCTTCAATTGTGCTGTTACAAAAATATATTTTTTTTTTTTTCTTTTTTTTTTTTTT